CCCCAAAACCCCAAAACCCCAAAACCCCAAAACCCCAATACTATTCCAAGATCAATAATAAAACTAAAAATGTCTTTGGTTAGCACTAAAAGGATGAAAACTTCCTCCGACGATGAATCTGAAATGCAGAACAAACAGAACGCTATGAGCAGCAAGGAAAGAGCCCGAAAGCACAGGCAACGAAAGAAAGAGTACTACAAATAAGCTTGAAGAAGAGAACAAAGGGCTTAAAGAAGAAATTGAAAAGCTTAAGATCGTGATCATGAAATTGAAGGAAGAGAAAGAAGATATGGAAAGCCGTTCCTTTGGCAATCACTCTGAAGCTGACATGACACAAGTTAAAATGAAAAATTTCGAAGAGGTCAAATTACCGGAAATAAGCAAACTTCTCAATTTAATCAATGGTAATCCAACTCCTGATATTGATGAAGATAAGGAAGAAAATAAAGAAGAGGATGAGATAGACCCTAATAAGGAGATACTCAAAAACCATGAGCCAGCTTTTAAGATAGACAAAGTTCCTTTCCTACGAGATCACTTTAACGAAATACTAAATAACATTTTGTCTGTGGAAGGACAAATAGCTATGGTTGTCTTTGACCATGTAAGTACCCATGTCTTTCCCTAGCTTAACTTCCAATAGGTTTCCATCAGCAAGTTCATCAAGATTGCTAACTCTGAGCGTAAGAAGTTTATGAAGAGGAAGGAAGAGGATCCTATTATGAATAAAATTCTAGAAACAAAGTTTTCTAAAAGTCTGGTCAACTTTATAAGAGAGCACGGCAAAGAATATACCAAGATTCTTCAGGATCTTCGGAAAACTGTGAGAAGGCTGGTCTATGACAGGAACAAGCTATTTTCGTATAAGAAAAAGCTCAAGAAATTAGAATCAAAGGCTAGATTTTCAAATAATTTCCCTCTGAGTATGGAAGACCAAGCAAAGATCTTAAAGGCTATATCAGAGCTGAAGAAAAAGGGTATTCTTGATTTCATGTCTCTGTGGCATATTCCTCAAAGAGATGTAGACAAGGAGTACGGATCTGATATCGAACTATCAGACTATGAACAATATTATCAATAAACTCATTAAATCCTGTAATTCTAATTTTTGGAAATCTGTACCACGTCATTACTAAATTCTTGGAAAATTAGCGTAACGCCTCTTTTCATGAATTCCATCTCTGAACGTATTATTTTCAACACTTAGGTTTTACTTGGGGTTTTGGGGTTTTGGGGTTTTGGGGTTTTGGGG